GGCAAAATGGAAGGACTTCTGTACAGCGACTCCTGATTCATGAACACTGACCTTGGCCAACTTAAGCGGACCAGGATTACATGTGCTACTGTAGCTGCTAGAGTATCTTCAATTCCCGCCCAATTGATGACATTCAGGTACAAAACCACGTAGGCGACCACAGTTCAGTTCGTGCAGTTCAAGCCATTTGCTCACCTCAGGTGATTTTTTAAATGCCACGGGGTGTGAATGAATTCACCAAGTGACCCACGTAAAATTCACCCCGGGCAGATGAAAGAAAGATCCCCCTAGGCCTCTCATGTTCCATTGGATTCGATTAGTGGATCACTTCGTTTAGCTGCACTTTCTTAGTAGGTTTTCAACAGCTATTTGCAGGACCTGCCCCTCATGAGTTTCAATCAGCAAAAAGCTTTTCCACGGAAAGTGTGCCCCTATCAGGAGGAAGTTTCCGGACCTTCTTCCTCCAACTCCAGTCCAGATTTCAGGTTTCCTGGGTTTCTTTCATCCGCTTTCATCGATCCAGATCGAAACGCTGCGATCCCCAGGAGAGCCAGAATGCTGGATGTCTTCGCACGACAGGTTCGTATGGGTGTTGACTATGACCTTCCAGTGGTGGTCCATGCGCGTGATGCGGATGGTGACACCTTGGAGGTCTTGAAGCAGTTTTTGCCAAAGGAGCACAAGGTCTACATTCATGCCTATCAGGGTGTCTCGTTGATATTCATGCCTATTGGAGCGTATGGTTGTGGGTTGTACTAATTAGGGCCCAGTTTGCAAAGTTCAAGCTTGCGCTGGAAATCATGGGTATGGTGCTTCAAGCGAATACATATAAGAACCACAAAACCACTCCTATGCGGCCAGTGGTAGGAATAGTATTAGATGCGGATAGATGTTGAAGAATAAGAACGGGGGATTTTGCAGATAAGTCCTTGAAGCCATGTGAAGCCCCTTGACTTTGCCCTTTTGCAGCTTTTTGTGATGTTCAGCCGTCGGATGCCGGCGGACCCACACGGATCGTCGTCAAGAAGGTCTACACCGGAATCGCTCGGACCGTCGGATGGCGCCTGTGCCCTCTTCCAGGTCCAGTTGGACGATTTTTGGGGACCGAAGTGAAGGACCTCCGAAGTGAAGTAAAGAATGTGAGCTGAAGACCTTTTTTTGGGGGGGTCCTAGTCGGTCGCCATGAGACCAGCCACCGTGCGTATTTCGTGCGTCCATAGTGCCGGCGTACGGCACTTTTGTGTCAGGGGGACACCCCATGGTGGTGGTAGGCCTTCGTGTTGGGCGTATCTTGGGGGTATAGTCGAGTGGTCGGCATCTCCAGGTTCTGTCGGGCGTTTTTCTTTTTTGTGGTGGTTCTCGTGTTTTCTCGTGTTTTCTCGCGTATCTCAGGTGGACTGCAGATGATGAACGATGCTTTACTGGAGTTCCCCAACTGTGTCTTCGGGGTCAGCAGCATGGTCTGGTGCAGTGAAGGTGCCAAGCGCCCTGGCGGAGTCGGTGGAGTCGGTGGAGTCGGTCAAGGCATGGACTTAGGCGATCCATGAGCAAGGCCCAGAACATCGACTGAGGGTTGGTGTTCCAGGTTCCAACAACGGAGTTTTGGCCGTGTCATTCCGTTTTCTGTTTTCCCTTCGGTGTTCTAATCAACTCTGAACCACCCGGATCACACGATCCACCAGTCTCCGTCAGCTGCCTTCATCTTCTCAGATCCACCGAGTCTCACCGAGGGCCACGGCCATCCACTGCCCTCTGCAGCGGATGGTCCTGGAGACGGACGCGCCCTACCTGGCCTCCGAGCCCTTCGACATCCCGGCGCTCGCAGAGAGGGTGGCGGAGCTGCCGCACGGCGTGAGGAAACAGGTCCCGCTCCGGTCCGAGCGTTGGGGTTCGTTCAAAGGCGGCAGGAAAACAGGCGGACTCCCAGCAAGAGCGGACTCTCTACAAAGTGTGTGTAAGTTGGTGTGTGCCAGTTGGTGTGTGTGAGTTGGCGTGCGTAAGTTGGTGTGAATGAAGCTGGAGTGTGTAAGTCAGTTGTGTGTGTGTGAAGTTGATGTGTAAGATGATGTTTGTAAGTTAGTGCGAGTCGCTTGTGTGTGTGTTTGAGTTGGTGTGTGTAAGTTGGTGTGAGTGAGCTGGTGTGTGTGTGTAAGCTGGTTGGTGTGAGTAAGTTAGCGAGGAGCGGCGGGAGGAGAAGGAGGAGGTCGTTAGGAGGCCCGAGAAAAAGTAAGAACTCCACATGCTAGTGGGGGGAGGTGGGGAAATAGACGGAAATAGTAAAATTACTGTACGTGTTTTCGTTTGCTTTGCTTCCAAGATGCGTGTTACTCTGTCGGGACATAAGTATCCACCTTCACAGGATGTTGTGACCCCCCTACCATGCAGGTATTGTATTAATCAATCGGTAGAATGACTCAGGTTCTTCTTAAACCATGATTCGAACATGCATGTTAGTTTGAATTAGCTTCTCTCATTGACTCGAATCCTTTCCACAAGTTCCTTTTGTTGACCAACATGATGAGTCACCCCCCGGGATATGGGCGCTGGGCGGGCGGCAGCCAACGGCTTTTTTCTCAGGAAGGGTGTGACTCTGGAGGAGGTGCTCCGAGTCACCTTGGAAGTGAGCCAAAACTTCTATGGCCTTGGCTAACATAGATGCTTCTGATCCGACTTGGGCCAAGTCACTCGCCTACGACGGATGTACGTGCTACCTTTTTGGAGTAGCCAATCTTTCTTATTGTTTGCCACGATCCGCCACTTACTGATAGCACAAACACTCACCACCCAGCAAGAATTTGGCCTGTGTGCTGCTAGACAGATTCCTGGTCGAGCTGCACACTTGCAAATCGGCTACTGGACACCTATCTTCAAAGAAACCGTTCAAGATGGCATAAGTCCTGCCGTAGCAGAACCTGATCGATGTCGACCTCAGATGAATAAATCAACCCGTGTTCCCAGAGAGTCTCTCTGGGACACGGAAGATTACTTCATCCGGGGTTCGACCTTGTTAGACCGTTCTTGCATGATTGAAGGAGTCCAAGTGGTGAGGAGAGCCATGAGCCGACAGCCGCGAGCCACCACGTACAGGTGATTGTTGGAAAGGAACTGTTCATGGTCCAAATCTTTCAAAAGGCGGGAGACCTAGAATTGACAAAGTGGATTGGCGGTCTACTTTCCAGGAAAATGCCCAACTTTGTGGTGAATCTCCACGAAAGGCGTATGGATGTTTGTGTGAACATTATAATCGTGGCCTTTGAGGTTCGCCGATGTTCTTCGGGCCGACTGCCCCTTTATCTTGCTTTGAGAAACGGTTTCACGCCGGCGTGGCCAGCCGTGTGGCTGCGCGCCATGTTTGGCTGTGAAGTCGGTCCGCATTGCTTCGGTCTCAGTGAAATGCCTGCCTCAACGGTCAACCAAGGGTCTCGGGTGACTGTGACTGTGCTGTTTTCAGAGCCTAACCAAGGCAGATCCATGGGATTTGCTGTATTTGCTGTATCATAGAGGAATCGGGTAATTAGTAATAGTGGCCTCGATGTCGGCATTGATTACCAGTCCCATGGGATCGCGCCATAGGGTCGGAATCTGTAGACACCTCCGTTCTGCCGTTGGTCGAAACGGCTTGAGAAACGGTCCCCATATAGTCCTCCGTTCTCATGATATTTGGTGTTAAGAAGCGATCGAATGGCGATCGATGTATTTTTAATGGCCTCATGAGGTTTGCACATCTCATACACTCTATCTTTAATGGCTCTTGATTCATAAACCCACCCATTTGATTGGACATCCGTTTCATATGGGGGGGTTATGAATCAAGAGCCTACATTACAGATTCATGGAGCGACATATATTCACTATTTGGATGGTTTTTGCACATGAAACAGTCACATGCCACTAAGAGTTGACTGATATAGGTTTATCTTGATTTATCCGACTTTGTCACGATTTTCTCCGATATATGGATATAATGATATATGATTTGACTCAGAACCCATCACACCAGTGAATGATCTTCCACAACAGAGGTCACTCAGGGGGCTTGGCATCAAAACACACTGGGACAGCAGAGCCCCGACTTCCAACAACGGTGCCTCACGACGCAGCCCTGCACCGCAACTCCTCTTGGTGCCGCCCTGGCCACAAAGACTCAACCACTCGATGCACGGAGAAAAGACACCAGAAATGCGGCGCTTACTGGGCCTGACATTGAAAAGCACGAATACCCAGGCAATGTGGTCGAGGATGGTTGAGGTATTTGTTCGTTCGGACGGATTTCCCATTTTCGCGCCTGTTTTTGACTTTCCAAGTTTGGAGTACGTAGAAACACGACCAGTCTTGTGCAAGTTACTTCCATGAGGCTTTGAAGGTGCCCCCCACAAACTTCACTTCGGAGGCTGTGAGGCCCCCACCACGCCCTTCTGGCGGCCCTGAACCACATGCCGGGGGCGAGGCTAGTGGGCTCTCTATCCAAGTTTTAGACACACAAAGAGCACTACTTTATTTGGGTACATTTTTTACACTGGTAGTGGAAAGCAGGCAAACCACTGAGCAGGACGATCCATAGAGTTTAGAAAGTCTTTGTTCGGAGGCGCCGTAGGTCTTGGCACCGGGGGACGGTTTTTCCCACTCAATGATCAATCGATGAAGAGAATAGACTACGGAAGTGCAAGTACCGGGACTGGTCTTGACCCACAGCCGATGAAGGACACACCAAGACAAACAGATGCGTATCCAAGACAGACATCCGCCAGCTCCAGACAACAAGTGGTTGATCCATGTTTATCTATTGGTTCATGTCTATGCTATTCCCTCACAATTCGTTCTGTGAAAACATGTGAACATGTCACTAAATCATCCGGACGTCCCATAGGAGCCATGATCCCAAATTTTGCACCATTTGTCTTCATGCAGCCAAAAACATATAAAAACATGAATTCCATGTCTTCCCAGTCAAATTCCCATAGGACGACGTGTTTTCCTACGTCAAAGGCTCCGCCTTCCAGGCTCCCGCTTGGCGAAGGTCTTACGAAGGATGTCACCCGAGGACTCCGAGGAGCACCGCCTGCAATGGTTGTGTTACTGGATGTGCTTCTCCAAGAAATATATACAAATGATTTCTTAAGAAAAGGACTATACAATATAATATAGTGGTGTTTAATGTAACATGTCAACATTTTCCCTCAAAAACAAAGCATAAGGCCACGACTATTCCAATACAAGTTGTCCATTCTCTCTTTTTGGGGGGCCCTTTTTCCACTTTACAAGCTAGTCCACTCCACCTATCCGATTTATCAGAATATATGAGATGTATATAATATATATGTATATATATACATATATATCAGAATTCTTTGTGTAGGTAATTGGTCCAGCCCTCTTTGCGATTCATTGGCAGGAAGAAGACGAGGCAGAACCAGAGCCGATTTGAGCACCGGCAGCAAGCGCTTGCGAGCGATCCGCTTGCAGGCCTGCAAGGCCTTGCGGGAGGCTGCTTTTCGGCAAAGGCCGACGTGCCTTCTGCAAGGCCCAGGACCCCACAGAGATGGGAAGACCCAGTAATACAAACCTATATATATATATATATTTGGTCCATACTGCAATGCGGCTACCGGTTCCTGCGTAACTTGACTCACAGTGGGTTTGCTGTTCGGTTTGAATCTCCATGTCGAATGGTCGGCGTTTAAACGCTCAGAAAGGAGACCAAGGCAGTGATTATGGTGTTGTAAGGGCTCCAAATTTGAGATTAACCCCAAGACAGCCAGATTCCAACCATAGTCCTTTGGCATGGCATGATCCACTTCTTGCCAAGGTGCAGCAAATGCATATTGCAGAGTGTACTATTCTGTGCATGCAAAGGCTGCATAATAGCCATGCTTGAATCATGGGGTCTGACAGAACGACTGCTTGCTGTGCTCAGCGTTCAGCAGAGAGCGTCACCAGATCCAGAGCCCACTTGTACAGACTGGACTCAGAGTCTGCTGGAGCTTGCTCCAACACTTTTCAAGCCAGTGACGTAAAACGCTCCGCACCACAGGTCCTTTGCTGCTACCTCGCCCAACTGTCTTGACGCAGACAAGCTGTTGGCAGATCGACTGTTGATTTCAATTCTCATAGTGAAATTACTTGGGAAGATGCAGGCTTCAGGCTGAACCAACTTTCAGACACTACTCACGTGTACTCACTGGCAAGTTGTTGTGTCGTCATGGCGCTTGTTGTGTGCCTATGTTGGATGGATGCCCATATACTTGTCAAATGCAGATTAACCTGTCTGGGACGAAACGCTCTCCTCAGTCCATCCCACAAGTCGCAGGATTGCTAAACGGCTGTGTGAACAATCGTTCTTTTGCCTAGCCCGAGTACACAGCCTGGTTCTCTTGTCTTCAACGGATTCATTTCCCTGGCCCTTAAGGGATGCTTTGGTTGACCTATGTTGACCTGTAATGTTCCTTTCTGTGGAGGCTGTTCTTCAGATCCCTTGACGGGTCGGCGAGTGTCACGAACAGCGAGCAGCTTGGCCTGACCATGTTCAGCTTGGCCTGATGACAGACCTGAGGACTTGCACCCACTCGAGCCCCGTTCGAGGGGTTCGAGGGGAAAGGTGAGGGTGCTCCTGATGTGTGAAGCAAGAATGAATTCAATATGTTTTAACGATTACAATGTGGTTCACTTTCTCTAAGTATTCTGGGTGTTTCACCAGACCTGAGAAGGAAGCGGGGGCTTCATGTCGTTGTGCGGAGCTATCGCTCACTCGTTGTGAGGATGTTCTGTGACCCAGACTTTCCTGGACTGCGTTTTCCTAATATGAAAAATTACAGGGCTTGGAGATGATGTGTGTTTTTGCAAGTCATTTTCCCCATCCCTGACATGGTTGTAATCAAACAATTTGGTTCTTCGCATGACCTCAAAGGCCTCGACCTTGTTTCGGGTGGGCCGGTCGGACGGCCTCAGACCGACCTGTGGGTCGGACCTTGTTTCGGGTTTCAGGGCCGGTCACGTGTCCCGGTCGGATCTGCGCAGAGCACAACAAGCACATCTGCTTGCACCAAAGCATATCTCAAAGCTGTAGGTAGGTAGGGACTTCCTGGGGGTGCGCAAGTATTGGCTTAACTTCCAGACAATGGTTTTGGCCGCATCCCGTGCATCCTTCAGATGTCCTTTAGACACAAGCAGACCAAAGCAACCAGCAAGTTCTCTACGGTCACCTCGTGTACAGATGTTGTTTGGCTGGCAATCGCCTGGGTGTTTGTGCCGATGGGCCGCGATACACAGGCTGGAACGATCAGAGACGAAATGGCAATGACTTGGGGCCTGGGGCCCCCTGTAACTGAAGCAGTTGGAGGTTCTGCTAATTACTGTGGTAACAATAAAGCTTTCTAGTAACTATAGAAGCTACTAGGTGGAGGCCATGGCTATTAGGTTGGAGGCCATCGCTACGAACGTAACAATAGAGCTTCCGTTCGTTTCGTCCGAAACATCATGGCAAAATGGAACCTGCCCACGAATCGGAATGTGTCCGATTCGAGCCGATGTTCTTGCAGTGGTGGTGGGGAGTCCTTTTGATTTAGGTCATAGACCCAACATGACCCAACCATCCACAGAGATTGCGCCCGCCCTGTCGGACGTTATCTCTCGGAGAAAAAAATGCGAGCCCTGAGGATGAGACAGAGTTTTTACGCTGAGGCCGACTCTAAGATCTCTAAGGATCTAAACGAGTATTGTTTCACTTATTGCTTCTTTTGGGTGCTTAAACCAATACTAATTGTAATATTGTAATTTCAACAGAAATGGGCAGAGGAAGCCATCAAGGAAGTGCGGTTTTCTTGTAGTTTCCGGAAGAAGCTCTCAACAGATTGTTTTCATAACTCATGTTTTCAGATATGGTCAGATCTAAGCTTTTCAGCGGGAAGACGAGTTGAGTTGAGCCTTGTTGTTTCACAGTTGCCTCGTGGTTTTCAGTGATTTGTTCGGCCTCCCTTTCTCGGACTTCCGGGTTGAGAACACAGTGCTTCCCAACAGCTGTGGACAAGGACATCAGTCAGCACAAGTCTTAAAGAAAACATATCAAAGACTGTTTGGTGGACACAGATCCCGGATTCGTCAGGGATTCCTTCAAAGTCTTGGCATGGTCAAATTCCATTGACCGATCCCATGTGTGGAACACCAGGTTACTGGTGATCCGACGGAAAACAGCCCCGACGGCAAACATATGCCAGTCTGGAAGATTCCGTGACTGGAAGGTTCCATCTTCCCAGCAATTTGGAAGATTCCATGGAAGGTACGGATGGTTGAATTTTGTGGAAGATCCATGATATGAATACAAGACTGGGTGATGGTTTCAGAATGTTTCAGATATTCTCATGTTCGACCTTTACTTGGGATGATTGAACTTACTGACTCATATTTTTCAAGCGAGTTGAAACCACCAACCAGAAGGGGAAGATCGATGTTCAGCCTCCGCTGAAGACTGGATCGCGTCGTAATCCGGCAGAGATGCAGGACATCGATCTTTAGCCAGTGAGGAGCTATGAAGGCATTAAGATAATTTTTCCGCCAGATCCACCAGTTGTAATGGTTGATTTGGGGTGGTTGATTTTGATTTTTTGTTGATCATTGATCCGTCGCCTACGTCGCCTTGATCGATCCAAAGTTCGACTCGAGAGCCCCTCAGAGGGCGCCCTCGCGCTGGGTTTCGGAGATGTGACACGTGAGGACTTGAGGACCTCGAAGGTGATCGGTGAAAATGGTGCATTCACAGTTTCATGTCGAAATCAAAGAATGATACATTCACCCCATTTCACCCCCAAATCCTCTTGGGCACTTTGATTGCCAGTGGTTCCTTTCTGTGTGTTGAAGAGGATGGCAACCGTTTGTTGGATGTTTTTGGTGATTTGTGCGGAGACATTGCAGATGCAGCTGTTTCTTCTAGTGCTTGTTGTTTTTTTCCAGGACTGGATTCTCAAGATATTCATCCACTCACATTGACCCGAACCTTGCGAAGAATGTGTTTTGAAGCAGATGCTGGTCGACATGCAGCAGACACAGTCTGAGAGTATTTCAGTCAGGACACCAGGGAAATTTGTTGAGTCATCCCGAAGTTCTCCCTTTATCCCCACATTCCATCATAGTGAACCTAAGTACCTGGACCCTCCAAAGTACCCTAGAACATAGGACATGACCCATCATGACCTTATCAAACCAGGTAATTACTTGTACCCGTTGACTGCAAGAGAGAAGGGGCCGTTGGCCCGACTTGTACTTTCTTTATCCGACACAGACTAAAGACTGCTCCAGGGTAAGCAGCACTTGCCCCAAATGAAACCAGCACTCACAATATATGTACTGTAGCCATTCAATTATCAAGTGGCCATAGATGGCTCTGGCACTGAAGACGAGTATGATGAAGATTCAGAATTTCCTTGACTTCATTTTCTCTTCAACCCTCACCAGCGCTCTGCCTGCAAGGAGGAGGCTCAATGCTGCAGAAAAACATGTGATTATATCCAATCAATTGCCACAAACAGGCTTGACACGCACACCACACATGTCATACACCAAGAGCAGCACACTTACATACTTGCTATAGCAAGACTGCGCCCCCCCCCCCCCACACACCCACACACACAGAGATATTACAGAGAGATTTGGCACTCTGAGTGCTTTCTCACTGATGTCGGATGAGGAAGGTTTTGTGACTCCCCCCACGGCGCCCCTTTGCGATCAACTCGCCAGTGCCAGTTGGATGGGGGAGTCGCTTGTTGAAGCTGTCGAGTTTCTATGATCCTTTCTCTTTCTCGACCTGCAGGCCTCTTTTCTGGATTCTTCAAGCCAACGCAATCTCAACGCTAGGCCAGGCCCCTGTGCCTGAAACCTGGGAGTGGCCACCTTTCTATCCGAGCTTTCAGGCCATCGCAACTTTAACACTGAAGGGCAAACAGTGTTAACCCTGAGCGCATCAAGTTCCTGCAGCGGGGGAGGAGAGAAAAGGCCTGGCGGGCCATTAGCAGAAGAAGAGGGGCAAAGCTTGGGAAAAGGAAGACTGCCCAAGAAGCCTGCCAACTATGGCTAGAGAGCCGAGGCAAGAATTGCAAGGAGACCTCTGAACAGAGGGGCACTAGAGCTGGTAAAGAGGGCTGACCAGCTGCTCCCTGATTGCTGGTCAAAAAAGCGTTTACTGCTTTTTGTCGTGCTGTGGGCCAAAGGGCAACTGTCGAGCTCCTGCCCCTGCGATCTGGGAGCCCTTTCTTATAAGTTTCCAAGGCCTCACAAGCCCAAAAGCAGGGCCCCCAGTGCTGCTAAACAATTTGATGTTTTGTGAGGTGTCTTCGGGGTCACCTCCTCCACTGCCCGTTCGTGGGACCAGCTCGATGGAGCAGGACCTGGGGGCAGACTAGGTTTGCGACTGCTTGTGTCGAATTTTGACTGTCAGCT